ATGACAACTGAGGTTGTGTCAATGTAGAAATTCCAAATGGGATATCGCTATTGGACCTTCTGTGTGCCTTACGTGGAAGCACACTCTCCACTGCCCTTGATGCACTTCCTCGTGTGAAAGGTGGGGGAGGCAATAACGAATGTGAATTAGCATCCCTCTCCTCCATCGAAATATCACCGGACACTTGGTCCGCCATTGAAGTGGACAATGATTCCCGATAAGGCAAAGGGCTCAAGGGAGGCAAGGAATCGAGCGAGAAAAATGAAGGTTGTGACAAAGATCGCGAGTGTGACTGCCCTGGACTAGGACTAAAATTCTGCTGACCCTGTTGCGAATTCATGTGACCGGTTACTGGGATCTGCGAGTAAGGCGAATTACGGGGCATTGGCGGATGAGAAGGGGGTATCCCGACCCTCTTACTGCTACTCTCAACACCAAAATTAGGGGAGAATTGTCGCATCTGACCACGAAATTGCAGAACGTTCAACTGGGGTATGTCTAGTTGATTTATTGGAACAGATTGCTGTTGTTTAGCAAGAGAAGATGATGATATGCCAACCGAGGTTTGAAGTCTTTGTATAGAATCACCATTAACTTTCTCAGTATCACCACCCATTTGCTCAAAAACTACTCAAACTCACCACTCCATAAGCCCATTTAATTCAAATTCTGGAATTTTCAGTTCAACCCACCCTCAATTCCAAAACGAACATAAAACACAGATGAAACTAATCTTCAAAACACTAAAACCAAAATGATTCAGAAAAATATGATCTTTACAAAACTAAACAAGTAGATTAACAAATAATCAAACTAAGCATTGAGATTTCAAAAAAGAACAAAAAAAAAAAAAGCACTTTTACCGACTAATTTTTTCAAAGGGGTCGAAGCGTGTCAGCAAGAGTTTATCCCACATTTGGCGGTGAAGTGTCCCTATACAGCGGGGAAGATAACAGCAAAGCTGAAACCAAAATCTCCGCTGGAGTGTTTATCCAAGTGATTTTTACTTTCTCTAAAAGTCACTATTTTCTCTCTATATAGGTGCAAGTATTCCATTAAACCTCTACGCTGCTTAGACACAACTGAAATACGCGTGAATTTAATATGAATTTCAATTTCAATCTCAATCTCAATCTCAATCTCAATTTCAATTTCAATTTGAGTTGAATTTGCATTTCGGATGAATTTGAACTTCATTCCGACCACATTTGGCTATTCCCCGCAACTTATGGAGCAATCTCTGCGTGTTTTTGTCCAGAACTCGTTTTTAAGCGCGTTAAAAGAACTCTCTTGATTTTCTTTGCTTTTTTTGGTAGGTGCTGTACAATTGCCATTCGAAAGATGGGCATAAAACGAAACACACGGACGCAGAAAAATATCTCTACTTTGAATTTCTTTCTTGAATTTGAATAGAGGAAAAAATAGCAGCGCAAGTCCCCAATTTATTGCTCTAATAGCATTTTTTCCTCTATTGTTTTACATAGAATACTTTGGTCCTCAATATTACACTTTTATGTATGACTGAAAAAACTGACCCAATCC